ATGCGTTTAACGGGGTGCATCGTTACAATTATTTTAAATACCTAAGTATGAACAAGTTTCATAATTAATCGATTGAGTGCCAACATCTGGCTGTTATCGAAATCGATGATATAGAAACGCAATGTCTCCCTATCTTGATAAAAGATCTTCGATCGTTTATTCTTTTTTTTTGGGAGGGGACATGACAATCCAACATATTTTTTGCAGTATGTTTCAAGGCTAGTAGAAGTGAAACTCGATAGAATTGTATTTTCATAAATTTTTATGAGGGTAGAAGCATGTCTAAGAAAAGTATATAAAGATTGGTCGCGATAGAAATGATTGATATTTTGAGCGCTGACATCTGGCTGCTATTAAAAAATCAGTAAATGTATTTTTATATGTGTATATGAGACAAAAGGAATTGAAATACAATACTTTAAGTGAAACTCTAGAATTTTCAAAATTTCTTAAGTTTATGAGGATATTTGAAATAAAAAATTAGAAAACGATACCTACTTCGAATGAAGAGAAGGGTTACAGCATGAATTTCGATCTAGAAGTGTACAGTCTAGAAGCGAGCTTTCTTAAAGTCATATCTGAATCTCGTATACTGAATATTTGATGGAAAATATAGGGTATATTGTTCGTAATATACCAGAAGAAGACCTGATGGACATCGTTGCCGAAGTATTCGAAGATACTGAATGAATTTCCAGGTAATAATGGACGATGATGAAGACATATCCGCATTATCAGAGGATGACAGCTACAGTGATCAGAGTGAGGATCAGAATGAAGATACTAAGAGCAAAATAGTGTATCCTGAGGAAGTAGTGGCACTGAACGAGCTGACGAAACAGTGCGCGATATATTATTATTACACAACGGGTGGTTCATCAATTTTGTGTACATCGTGTATGACGAGATTAACGGACATCGTACATATGTACAGCATTCGTAAACATGTAATTAAATCACATGCAGTCATAGATGGCAAATATTGTTCGGAGTGCAAAAGTTCATGTTTTTTAATATTTTCTTGTAATATGTGTCCTATTTGTACAAATTAAAGAAGACTTGAACTGGATAAAACATTGTATATAGGCAGTGTATATAGGTAGTATATATAGACAGTGTAAAAACTTTTTTTTTCATTCAATCATAAGCTTTGATGACGAGCGTTAAAAAAAAGTAAAAGTATGGACAAAATAAAAGAATATGTACATCGAAAATCGATCGAGCGCAAGAGGTACCGTCCCTTGTCACCAAGTCCACCAAGTCCACCACCGTCGAGGGAGAAAGCGAAATACTGGGAATGTCCTGGAGAAAAAGCATCGAAGTCGCCAATGTCACCATCAACGTCGGTAAAATATAAATCAAACGGTACGTATCTTCTTTGTTTACAAATGCATTTATGGTGACTAGTGTTAATACATTTTATTCTCTACTAAAAACGAACAGTAATCAACAAGTTTTTTTTGTTCTCTTTTTTCCAGAAAGTGCTGCTACTGATGCTCAAGCCATCAAACGCCGCTGATCTTAACCGATGCCCTAGCAACCAAATGCCGCTGATGTTCAAGCCATCGATACCTGCGTTATTGCTCGATTGATGCATGCGATGATTGCATTTTAAATATTTTTTTAATACTATATGGACTAATGTAATAATAATAAAAAATGGTTTTTTGTATTTTTTAAATTCCTGTTTGTTTCTTTCATCCTTCCATGTACTTGATCCATCACAGCGATTCTATATTTTTCTTGATATTATAGCTATTTTCGATTCAGTAATTTTTTATACACATGTACAGTCATAAAAGATCCCTTCTGCACAAAAAATAGAAGAGACACGAGCCGCATATTCCAGCCTCTTATTTTATGTATGTGTGAAGAAATTACATCATAATTTCTTTATTAAAAAATTTTTTATTTATATATTTCTTTTACATAATTTTTTTCATACACACAAAAAACTACAGCTAATAGTTCGCAGTCGAGGAGTTCATTTTTATTAAAGTAATCGCTAGCGCATATTACATTTGGTACATCGTTAGCATCCGTTACAGTGGATGCGATATTCGAGAATCGTGTAAACTTTGTATCGACTTTGTCGACGATACCAATCAATTGATCGAATGCTAATTCAATGCATCGATCTAAGTTAAACATAAACAATATTGTTGAGTCAGTCACCATTAAACGTACGTTGGATGATTCCAAGCATACAATTTTAGCATTTTCAATCGTACTGAATCGTACAGTCAGCGGTCCAATGCTAATGAAATTGCCCTTGTGATGATTCCGAAGACAAGTTTGAATTTTCCAACGTTTGTTCATAGAGTCCTTTCCATGTTTCGATAGATAGTATTAATTCGTTTCCACGATTATCTCCTATCGCAATCTCCACGTAGCTCAGTGGGCCAATGTTAATACCAATTTTTAAAAATTTGTATTCCGTACGTGTCAATGCGTATTTCCTGCCTAGTATACGAACTGCACGATGCACGGGCGCGCTATGGAAAAGTATAAAAGAAAGATTAAATAATTAATTAAATAGTTGTTAATTTGAAAAAGTATAAAACTGGACGATTCTTAAACTTACTTGGCACATCTTTTCGTAAATAAAGGAGTTTCATCATTATTCTGAAGTGGAACGTAATAATTTTTTCGTGCGTTGCTTCCTACAGCGGAGTACATTGCTGCTGCTGCTGTGGGACTTTTTTCGTACAAGCGGCTAAAGCAATACTGAACGTGTAAAGATTGCGTATAGCTCTTAAACCGATTGCGTACCACAAACAAAATTGTGAGGGAGGGGATAGTTTTTGCAGGAAAGTAGAATAGATAGGCGGGTTCTAAATAACTATGTGCTATAGTGCGTATATGTGGTATGCGCGCGCGTGCGGGAGATGTCACACAGGTCCGAGGGAGGGGTGCGTCACCGGGATCTGAGGTAGAGGGGTTTTGTTCTTTCTCTCCCACCCGTTGTGGTACTATACTTTTCATATTATTCTCATTTTCTCCCGTTGCGCTCTCTCCCACGTTTTCTTCTCGCATGCGATTTAATTAAATAGATGTGATATTTAATGATATGATTTAGTAACTAATTATAGTAATATATTTTTATGAATATAATATAACATAGTAGCTAATTATCATAATATTTTTATTAATGATGTAACGATGCACCCCTTTAACGCATCGTTCCCGACAGGTTCCCCGTCGGATGCCGCTGCACCCCGACATCAGGGCCAGCAGCGAGAAGGGCGCGGTGCGCCCGCATTATATTAAAACATAATTCACAGGTACTACCAGCGAGCCAGAGATCGCGAAACATTGCGAAACCGTCAATCCGCCGAAACCGGCCGAATA